TAGTATTTTTATTTTTTATTGTAATTTTATTAGTCAGCTATTTTATTACTTTGACCATTATCACTGGTTAATAAAATTAAAAATATATTTTTCAATTAACTTAAAAAGACTTTTTCAATTAACAAAAAAACACTACTTTGCTTTGTATGTTTATTTGAAATTCTTGCACAGTGAGTTGACCATAGTAGAAAAGCAAGATCCACACAGGATTAGGGTTAGGATCAGGGTTAACCCTAACCCTGACCCTGATCATCACAGGATTCACAAAGCATCCATAATTGTCGTTAAGCTGTAACCTTATCTCCAAAAAAAATGACACAAGCTTGATATTTTTTAGAACTTAAAGAACCATCAGTTAATTTTGAAACTATAAACAAATTTTTCACTCAAATAAAATACCATGGTGTGTATCCATTATAAAAATGTCAAAATTTACTGGTAAATTTACAGGTAAAGTTACCAGAAAATTTTACATTTGCAACACTTATCAACATGTCACAATATTACTGCTAATTAGAGTATATCAAAACTTCAGTAATTTTTATAAAAAAAGTTGTTATTTTCAAAATTTTTTTTTTTGTAAATATAATTAGGTGACTCTTAATACAGTGAACGCTCTATATAAGCAACCTCTCTATAAGTAACATTCTTTATAAGCAACCTCTATATTAAAGCAACTGTTTTTAGTTCAACTGTTCTGTATAAGCAACTTATTTTTTTAAAGCTAAATATTTGAGTTAAGTTTAGGCTGATTCAGAGCTGTTCACAAAAACATAACCTCAAATTGTAAAAAATTAACCTCAAATTGTAAAAAATTAACCTCTAATTGTAAAAAAATAACCTCAAATTGTAAAAAATTAACCTCAAATTGTAAAAAATTAACCTCTAATTGTAAAAAATAACCTCAAATTGTAAAAAATGGTCTCGTCTATAAAAGCTCACCCAATTAAACTAACTTCTAAATCCTTCCCTGAATCTAAAAACCTTCCCATAAATTCTCCTTCTCTTAGTAGATAATGCAACTTGTCATAGATCTGAGAATAATTTTACTAGTAACGCGAATTTAAAAGTTATGATTTTTCATCCTAATAATACACCATTATTGCAACCACTAAATCAAAATGTGATAAAATCACTAAAACAACACTACCGCAAACATCTACTTGCAGTGTCTTGCAGCCTTACGTGCAGAAGATAGATCAATTTCAACACTAAAAAATGTAAATTTAAAAGATGTTTTTCATTTATGGAGCAGGCATGGAATGAAATTCTTGCGTCAGTTATACAAAATTTATTAACAAATTTTTTTTCGTCAAGTGATGAAATTCAATACAACGTTCTTTTCGATCACTTTTCAGAAGAAAATGATATTGCTTGGCAAGATTGTATAATTCGATATTTAATGATTGTAATTTAGCAGATACTGAAATTATGGAGTGGGCAAGTGGAACAAGCGAGGCAAATCATCTATTTAACCTTAAAGGAAATCCTAAAGTAGAAAGTGAAACTAATCCTGTTGAAGAATCCTGTTGGATGACTCTAATAAAAACTAATCCTGTTGGATGACTCTAATAAAAACATCAATGTTATAAATTTTTTTAATTTGATGATAGAATGGGAAAAAAAAAAAGGAATTTCCCCGCAATGAGGTTATTTTGTTACTAAAAATAAGATAAAAAGCTATCATGAACAAATATATGTTTTAATATATGTAAAATAATTGTTTTTGTTTGTTTTGGTATTTAGTGCTGTACTAGACGAAAGATTTATTAAAATTTGATTGTTTAATTTTTTTTAATATAACTAATAACTACACTTATATGATAATAATAATAAAATGTTTTATTTTGCAAAATAAAACTGAATTCATTTATTTTACGCAGTTTAGTAAAATAAATAAGTAAAAATATTTTCCAGATAGTAAGTGTTTTTATACTCCTTTTTTCCCTATAAGCAACTTTTCCCAATAAGAAACTTTTTTATTGAAATTGGTTCAAATGAGTTGCTTATATAGAGAGTTCACTGTAATTAATAGCAACAATCAAATAATATTTGAGATTAATTTTTAGCAACAATCAAATACTTATTTGAGAATTGCAAAAGGATGGTAAAATTTATGATGGTTATATAGTTAGCTATAAATATATTTTTGGAAAATAGTATAGAATTTTGTTGATATTGTATTTTTTTAATATTTTAGGTAATGATTTTCTGCATCTGGAAAAGGAGACAATAAAGGATATTACACCTAAATTACTTCGATCTTGTTCAGAGGTTCAAAATTACTTATTTATAAAACATTTTTGTTTAAAATTAATTTGCTTCAATACTTTTTTTCTGTTTATGTTCTCAGAGACATGCTCTAAAAAAGTTTAATCTGCATTTTTCTAAAAAAATCTAATCTTTTCTAAAGAAAGTCTTATCTGTATTTTTGTGTTGTGGTGAACTTTCAAGTTCCTTTCTGCCCAGCTAGCATGAATATTGAAATAATATCTTACAAGCAGTCTTGCTTGTGGTTTAATATTTCAATATTCACCGATGATTTTACTTAAATTATATATTTTTGCACTCACAATGTTGGATTGATCAATATACATTAAATCAATGTTGGGTTATATACATTGGATCTATCTTAATCTATATATATTGAGTTTATGTTGAATTATTTACATTGAATCAAAGTTGGGTTTCCCTATAAGCAACTTTTCCCAATAAGAAACTTTTTTATTGAAATTGGTTCAAATGAGTTGCTTATATAGAGCGTTCACTGTAATACTAAGATTAAATTTGATCATTTATTTTAATAATTTGCTTATTTTAGATATATAAAAATTATCATAGATGAGTTTTTAACTTTATAAAAATCCTGGAAAATTATTTTTATAAAAATCCTAGAAACTCCTGGAAAAATTTAAGGTCTACAAATTAATGAAGGTATATGGGTGAATTCTGGACATTTGGCACAGGAATAAATAAAGTAACTAAAATCTACTGAATGATTATGCTTCTCTAAAATTCCCAAAAATCAAATGAACCATCTCAGTTTTACCATAAATAACCTGCAAAGCGTGATAATTTATTTACTTTTTAAAAATGCCAGACAATGGTTCAGAAATCAATACTTTTATTTCTTATTATTTTTCTATTGCAAAACCTTCATCAGTTTTTCTTTTTCTGCACTTTTTTTTTTTTTTTTTTTGCATAATTAATAATAGATTTTTTTTAACTATTTTGCACCATTCATGTGTGTTTGTTGAAACTTTTGAATCTGAAAGCATGCACCGGTCATGCATACTTTCAGATTCAAAAGTTTCAACTTTGTTTCTGTTCTATTTTTAATCATCTTTGGCTAAATGAAGCAAGCTAAAATTGTTTTTATCAGTTCAACTTGCTCTTCATAAATTTGATGGACTTCTTTTTATTCAAGAGTTAAAATGAATGATTTAAAAATAGGAAGAATTTCAATTTTATTAAAAATTGAAATTCTTCCTATTTATTCAAATTAATTCAACTAATTGTTATTCCTTTTTTTTTTACAAAAAAAAAAAAATTATTACAAAAATAAATTTTGCGAAAATTTCAGTTGTAGAAAACATATATATATATATATATATATATATATATATATATATATATATATATATATATATATATATATATATATATATATATATATATAACAAAAAACATTCCAGTCTATAATGTTTCGATTTTGTAAATTTTTAAAAACCATTTGATTAGCTTCCTTAATTAAATTTAATAATTTTTTAAAAAAAGGTTATTTCCATCAAAAGAAAACGATTTCAAGATTTAATTTGTTACAATTTTTGTAACAAATCTGCTTTTTTTTATTCCTGTAAATTACTCAGAAGCTAAAAAACATACCCTGAATCATTCACATTTTACTGTCAGTTAGTCTAGTATCAAGCAGTTAGAGTCTTTTCTCTGTTCTATAAGAAGATGGATGCAAAATAAACTTTATTTTTATTTATGAATATATTTGGCATTTATGGGTAATCCAGCCATTTAAAAAGAAAATAATAATAATAAGTTAAAAAAACAACCAACACAGAACTAAGAAGATTTAATATGGTTCATTTCATAAAAAGGTTTAGTATGGTTCATTTCATAAAAATAAAGTATTCCTGTCACAAAAAAAAAATCATAAGAATATTAAGAAAAGATTTATAGACAATGAAAAAGTAGTAGCAGATCCTTATCTGCCTGGTGGGTAATAAACTTGAAAATGTTTTTATGAATTTTTTGTTAGTTTTGAGTTTTTCTCAAATATATGTTTTCCTTTGCTTCAACTATATTTATAAAAATATTTTAAAATAGTTATGCTATAGCTTTTAGATGTTCGCTATGTCACATTGCTATGTCATTTACCTTAATTAAGTTTCAATGAATGTATTTTAAGAAATTATGACCCATAGATTTTTTAACTATTTTGCACCATTCATGCGTGTTTGTTGAAACTTTTGAATCTGAAAGCATGCAAACCCTCTCATTTATGACCTAAAAACTATTGTCATTTCAAAAAGGTTACTTATTAAATATTGTTACTTATTTAACAATGAGTATTTGGTTCAAATTTAAAAGACTTTTTTCAAATTGTTCTCAAGTTATTAGGTATAGAAGGTGTTGCACCATTTTTAAATAAATAGTGCATTAAAAATTAATTATTGAAATTGTGTTTTTTTTTTTTGTTAATAAAAGATTTATTTTAGGGTAGTATATCTTAAGAATCAAAAAAATATAAAATAGGTTTAATGAAATTTTTTCTGTAGGAACCACCATCAAAACAAATATTTTTAAAAATAAAGATTTTTTTCACCTTGAAGAAAACTTAATTTGAAATTTTTTAACTTATTATCATTACATTTAAATACATGATACATGGAAGAACAAAAAATTTGTTGAATAATGATACTTTTCATGTTGCCAAGTTAATTACTTTAATTCAAAAATATAAGAAATATAATTACATACTATCATACCGGCTTCTTGAGACAATGAAAATACTTCATTGTCTAGACTGTATGAACCACCACGATCTCGATGATATGCTAAATTTAAAAATTAAATTTACTATTAAATTAAAACAATACTTAAAAGTATTTTAAATGAAACAAAAAACATTTAAAATTGGTTTTATGTTTAATCTGTTATAATTAAAAATAATTGAAAATAACACAAAAAAAAAAAAAAAAAAAAAAAAAAAAAAAAAAAAAAAAACCCTAAAACAAATTACATTTTTAAGAAAAATATTTTTAGCTTAATATAGTTGAAAAATTTCAGGTAAGTTTCAATATATATAAAAATAACTTTAATATTTGATGCCAAATATTTCTCATAAAGATTAATAAATTTTATCAAAACAATAACTAAAAAGTAGCAAAAATATACAGTTTATTTTAAATCTGATTTGTTAAATTTTATATTCGTTCTACACCATGATTGAAGGAAAACCTACAACCAAATTGATGGTGTTGCCATGGGAACCCCATTAACTCCTGTTCTTGCTAATTTATTCATGGGCGTTTTTGAAGAAATATGGTTGAAATCCTATACAGGTATAAAACCAACATTTTACAGAAATTACCTAGATGACATATTTACTTGCTCACAATGCACAGTGGGTCAGAGGTGCCAATTTTCAGCCAAAACCTCTAAAATATATTTTAATTTTTTTTTTTTTTTATTACAAACGGTGTATTATATTGAAAAACAAATTATGCAAAAAAAAATTTTAGTTTTATAAAAACTTGGATTTTTATTGCATAATTTTGAAAAATTCCAATTTTTTAGCCTATAAAAAAAATTCCGTAAACTAGCCAGAGGCGGATTAAGAACATTCGGGACCCGGGGCTATTTTTTTCTGCAGTACTTTATTAGCCAAATTTATATAGCACGATTTGTAAGGGGAAGGTCTTCTTGAATGTTACGGGGCCCCTAAAATTTAAGGCCCCGGGGCCATAGCCCCCCTCCCTTAATTCGGCAATAAAATTAGAAACAAAAATATTATTTAAAGTTTTTTTTGAATCTAGAATAGTATAAAAAGTATACTATTCTAGATTCTTGCAATAATCTAGCAACACTAGATGGTAGAACCTTTATTATTACTATGCACAATAATAAAAAACTATAATGGGTTAAAATAGTTAATTTCTAGCCAAAACCTCATAATAAATTAAAACAAATAAAACTATGATTAAAAACTATATTAATATATTAAGATGTTGTTTTTATTTATATTGAAAAAAAAAATCTTATATATAATTAAACATTTATTGCTAAACACGTACATTCATTGGCAAAAACATTTATTTCTAAGATATCATCAAAAACTCACAAAGAGCAAATGATGCTGGGCTCTTTCAACAGAGCAATTGCATCGGCAGGCAGAATAGCTTTTCTTGTACTGTTTGTTTTACGGTATTGAGCAATAAAAGGATCTGAATGGCATAAAAGGCGATGAAACACGTCCAAATTGGTTTTTTTTCTGTCACATTTTCTAGAGAAGCACTCCCTGTATTTTTTAAAGTACTTATTTGAGGCTTCTTGTGCTTCCTCAGACATCATGCCAAGAGGCAAGCTAAAAAATTCTATCACTAGATGTCCATGAATCAGAACTTTATGTGAAGTCTGTGACATAGGATACCATATATATAACTGTGTATACAACTCTGCAGTCTCAAAACAATATTTTTTAAATTTGTTAGGTTCAATATCAAATCCAGAAGACATCACTGATAATATTGAATGTAGTCTTCTGATAAGAACAGGACTAACACCCATTATTTCAGCAGACTTTTCAGCCTGCTGAAACACACGACGTGCAGTGTTCCCATCATTTGAGGTACCAGCACCCCCAGAGCATGGCTGGTCTACAACAAGACCCATCTCATTTTGGAATGCAACTTGTATTTTCTTCTTTCTGGTGGCAACTATAGCTTTATCATCTACACCTCTTGCTTGCCATTTCTGAATTGGAATCTTGTATGCAATATGTAGTAAACACTCAAAAAGCCTAATCCAGGCATGAAGTGTTGAGATGCCATTCTGCAGATTCTCATTTTTCACTTCTTTTTTTAAAACTATTGGCAGATCATTCATGAACTTTGGTGAGATGCCACAAACACTGCAACACTGAGTGGAAGTTGTAGCAGTGGAAATTATGGTCTGCACTTTCCCATCAATCATAGTGATATCTATGATATGATGTACATCTAATGTCTGTCCAGCAATTATCACTTTAGAAACTGGGAGTGTTTTGATGTCATTTTTAATTGACTCAAATTCTTCTAAGACTACTTCCTTTGTTTCTTTGATGTATTTAAACCGGACAGGTCTGCAAAAAATAGGCGACGAAGGTTTATGATTCCTCCAAACAAGCTGCCGCTTGGCATCTGTAAAAAAGTATAAGTCTAATGGCACTAAGCATGTAATAAATAAAGATACTTCATTGGCTAAACTCCTGCCAGCCTCATCTGTACTCGACTGCTTATACACTGACAGACCAGTTGCACCATCAAATCCTATTTTTGATCTAAGTGTAAGTTTTTTAAAGATTTTAAGGGAATCAGCAGTCAGCACTTCTATCTGAGAATCACAAAGTCGTTGTGATGTGTGCTGAAGTAGAGACTGCAACGGAATTTCTGCTGAGTAATCAGAGATTATAACATCATCTGGATAACATCTGTCTTTTGCACTCTTTAAATCATGGTATGTTGGATAAATAGCTGAATCTAGATCCAAAGCATTGTTGCGGAGAAGTTGGTATGTTGCCTTTGACAGATTAGCATCTAAGAAGAGTGCTAGTGCTTTGTCAGAAAAAAGACTTGCTTGAGGGGTATATAAAATACTTTTGACACTGATAGCCTCTGCATTTCTCCCATCTTTTTTTAATGACCTTGAAGCTGCATATAATATTTCGTTAGTAGAGTACATATGTATAATGTTAGAAACTTTTCTGTCCTTTGATCGTATTGAAGATTTGTTAAAAGGTGTTTCTGGTCTTCCACCATAATTTTTTTCAGGAGTAACAGCTTTTATTAGTTTAAAAGAAATAATAGCATCTAGCCAAGTAGCATATTTATTTTCAAATTGAGTATACTCCCTTTTTACAGTTGTCATTTTACGTTTGTATTGATGAACAAATGATGATAATGTTGGCTTTATATCTAAAAATGTGTTTGGTGAAACATTTTCCACATACTCAACCAGTTTACAAAGTAAATCATTTTTATTACAGTCAGTTTCTTTAATATAAATGTATAACTGTCTTCTATTCATCTAAAATTAAAAAGAACATCTATTAATATAAGAATAGATAATATAATAATATATATAATAATGTGTGTATATATATGTATATATATATATATATATATATATATATATATATATATATATATATATATATATATATGTATATATATATATATACTATATATATATATATATATATATATATATATATATATATATATATATATATATATATATATATATACACATATATATATATACATATATATATATATATATATATATATATATATATATATATATATATATATATATATATATATATATATATATATATATATAGAGAGAGAGAGAGAGAGAGAGAGAGAGAGAGAGTGAGAGAGGGAAAGAGAGAGAGAGTAGATTAAATGTACAAACAAAATAATGAGCATGTGTTTGTTAAAAACTAGGCAACCTACTGTAATATTTTATGCCCAATATGAACAGATATATACAAAAGGAATATATTGTCTAATAATATTTTTTTATTATTATTATTATTATATTTTCTTTCTTATTATTATGTTCTCTTAAATATTCGCCAATAAATAGTATAGTCCGTCCGGACTATAAAAATTATATTAATGAGATAACAACACGGCCGGTTTATAAAAATTACAATTATTACATATTAAAATCATTGCTCACTCTAGACTGGCAAAAACTGGCAAAATATTTTGCTTGATAATAGTAGTACACATCAAGTACTTATGAAAACAGCTGCAACATATCTTTAATATTGCTTAATACACTACTATTTAAACACCAACAAAGAAAAAAAGAATTTACATAATTTAAAAAACAGCCTGTACAGTTAGGCATAAAAAAATACTGTTATATTTTTTATAATGATATTTTGAGGATAAATTATACATCTATATACAAATTCAAAAAATATAGCATAAAATTTTCCTACCTTTTAAAGCAGGAAGCATGTAAAAATAAACAGCAATATTTAGAAAAAATAATGAATAATTTTCAACATTGCTTGCTGACGGAACTGGAGTAGTTTGCGGCCAAGTATTTCTATTTAATCATAATCTATTATCATAAATAATATTATTTTCGTATATTAGACTTATTTAACCTATATTAAAAAAAAAAAAAAAAAAGTTTTTTTAAACTTTATGTTTTAGGTTTTGCCGACTTCTGACCCACTGTGCAATGGAAAGAATCGAAAATTACTTTTTAGGAAATTAAATTATATAAACGGAACTCTTCTATAGAAACTTCAATTTTTACACCTCATTTAAAGGTTTTACTTCTCTTGTATACAAAGTAAGTCTTAATTGACAGAGCATTAAAAATTATTACTATTGCTTTGAAACGTTTTTTTAATTTTCTGTTAATTTTATTAATTTAGTTAAATTTAATAAAATTAATATAACACTAAACATGGCCTTGAATATGATATAAACAAACATTTTTAAAATTTTCAAGAGAAATATGTATCCATTTTGGTTAATAAGTAAAATTCACAACTCTTATATAGAAAAAATCTCTAATACTATTTAAGATAAATCGAAAGATTAACTTCCCTGCATTGGAAAATTATCAGATTTAACTAAAAAAAAAAAAATGAATTTCCAAGGTATAAATCACCTAAAGATCCAATTCCGATAGAGTTTAAACCATTTGTTGTCTATAAATTTGTTTGCACAGATGCAATTCTTGTTATATTGGTGAGACAACTCATTATCTAAGGACACAAATGACTGAGCACTATCGGAGAGACAAAAACTCGCATATATTCAAG